ATAAGGTTATTACCTTAATCCTTCACACTTTTCTTAACTTTTCCCTTCTTAAATCTTCTTCCTTGGACTCCTAATGCTTGAGCTCGAATTCTGCAGCTATGGAGGATGGTTTGAGAGTTCTCCTTCTCTTTCTTGGTGGTGTGGGTCGAGCTAGAGGATGGATGTGAGATAGGATGTTTACTTTTGTCTCAAATGAACAATAAGAGAGGGTGAGGGGCCCTCTTTGATATTTTAGATTCGAAATGGCTACCCGCACGGGTAGCTCAGTTGGTCGAGTGGTGGGAGATTTGGATCAATTGACCAAGGTTTGAATCCCCACAGCGACCGGGTGAAGGTCACAGAACCTGAAATAAGACTGGGCCTCTGGTGCGCACGGGTGTATGGGCCTACTGTCATTCTGCTGACTGAGTCACCGTGACTAATCTCCCCACCATCCTGTCAGGTCGGGGGGGGGGGCTTCTACGGTGGGAGATCCCACCTTTTTTGGATCAATTAGATTCCAAATGGCTTTCCTCCACTCATCCTTTTGTCATTCCAGCCCCCATAAGTCACATTGCACACACAAAAATGTGGGGTGCCCCCCACTCATGTGGGAGGTCATCCCTTTGTGTTCCAATCTGTACAATCGGTCCCGAAAGTTTTATTTCTTGGACTGTTTTAATTATGTTTTATTTTATCGGGCCAAATAAAATATATCACACGTTCCTAATAATTATAGACCTTTAGAATAGATGTACATTCTCCAACATTAATTTAGGAGTCTCCGAAATTCATTTCGGGTTGTTATCCGATAAATTACCAATACCGGTAATTGGGCCTCGTTTGACCAACGAGTCAACTCTATGCCCTTTCTATGGACCAACTAAAATATCCACCAGCATATACATATTATCTAGATCAAGATGAAGATAATATGTGGTTCTGGAATTATCAGGCAGTCCCCATTCCCGGTGTGGGTCCCACGTGCAATTTACGATTCACGCAAAAGAAATAATAAAAATTTACAACTTCGCAATTTCATAAATCAATCTTCAAGGTTTATTACATAACTTACTAAAAAGTAAATATGCTTAGGGACGGTGTTACATATACGGGCCGCTAGGCTGGCGCTCGACAGGACTGATTGACAAGCCCTGACTAAACAGACATGCTGGTTGTCTTAGACTTGTGCCTTGCTGGATTTCCTTTTTTATGGTCTCTCTCGGTTGGGACGGGCCGAGCTCCTTGATCATTGGATCCATTGGTCGGCTTTCCTAGTGAGACAATGAATTTGGGCTTGAGCGTGCTGGTCTAGGTCGTGGGCCAGAACTTGCGAGTCTAAGTTTGAGATTATGAACCTCTAAACTTGGTCCCATAAACCTCATCAGGGGGTGTTTGAAATTAATTATGCTTATGTTTCTTTTTTTATAAGTAGAAGTAGAATCAAAATCAATTTTTCATAAGCTGTTTTTCACATCTTCTAAAAAACTGCTTCTAGAAGCAATTTTTATATAAAATGTTATATAGGAGTATTTTTTTCAAAATGTGACTTGTTTAGTCATGTTAAATAATAATAAAGAATACACATTTCTTGAAATAAGAGAGTAAAGGTCATATTTTTGTGAAAATGATTGTACTTCTATTTTAGGAAATTTCTCTTTTAAAAGTTTACACACTTGAAAAAAACGGTATAAAAAGCAAAGCACTTTTTGTTTGGCTTAAAAGAAAAACAGTTAGAACTTTAAAATACTTTATTTAAACGTAAACAATATTTTAACAAAAAAAAAAGTTAAAACCGGATAACTTTTTTTTACAAGCAAAATCATTACTCACTAGGTTTCAAGCCCGTGCATCATATATAATGTGATGCAAAAGTAAAATAAACTCGGTCTGAATATAGAATTCGTTTGATAATACTCAAATTGGTGGAATCAACTTATTTTACTGAAATTGATTAAATTCTGGCCGATTGGGCTAAATAGGAGGAATCTCCTAAATCATGAAAAAAACCATTTGTAAAATAAAGAAACGATTATATGAAAAAATTTAAAATGTTCTTCTACACAAGCATATCAACTAAACATAATTGTTGTGAACCCGATTTTAAAGAATTCACAAAGAAGTTTCTTAATTAATCTCACATCCTCTAAATTATTTCTTATGAAATATGGAATACATTGATGGATATTCATATACATATCAACAAGGCTCCATATGCAATATGTATATAAATATATAATAGCTAAATCCATATAAATCCATGAAATCAAATATGTATGAAATAAGATTAGAACAATACCTTGAGAATTCATTTGCATTAACACTTTAGGAAGACTTAGGAATCCAACACGATTGATCGGCCTAACCTTCCAATGCTATGTAGCTTATGAGATAAAGCTTAATCCTATAATTGATGGGTATTTATAGGACTAATTTGAGAATAGTAACGGTTAACCTTTCTAATTCCTACATTATTGCTACAATAAGTAGAATAATTTATTAGGCTATTTTCCGTTACTATGTCGTTACAATTATCTCGTTATTTACATGCATCGGGGGTCATAACCGTTGTATCACTTTAGTATAATATATTTAATTTGACCCGTCACCAAAAGAAATATATTATCCCAGTATCTACACTTTTATTATTTCATGAATAGCCACTGTATTATTTATCTGATGGTAAACACATTTTAATTAATTACATATTAGGCCCCTTTTTATTGTTTTCCAACAATCTCCCACTGGGCCTTATATGTAATTCTTAATAAAATGTGTTATCTTTATGAGCTCAAAAATACCATCATATAAAACATCCTTAAACAATCTGGTCCATCAGTCACACTAATATAGAACCATTGCAGCATTTTGTTATGTTAAACATAACTATACCAGCAATGATTACTAGTATTAATATAACATAATGACATAGATCAATCATGAAATGTGTAGCATGAAAATTACATGAAATGTGGCATGTGTACATGTCAATTTTCAACTGACCCTTCTTTAATAAACTTTAATAACTTAATTGTTCAGAACACACCAAATGTCTAACTTTATTCTGATCAGAAAACAAATACATCAAACATAACTTATGAACTCCCACTAAACTCGATGTTCCTTAAAATCAATGACTCCCAAGTGAGCAATGTGCTCATGAAAAACTTTTGGTGGGAGACCCTTGGTTAAAGGATCCGCTAGCATGGAGTTTGTACTTATATGTTCAATAGTGACCCTTTTATTCTGAACCCTCTCTTTAATAGCTCGGTATTTCACTTCAATATGTTTTGTCTTACTCGAGCTCTTGTTGTTGTTAGAGTAAAGCACCGTAGAATTGTTGTCACAAAATATCTTGATAGGCTTTGGAACTTCATTTAATATTTTAATCCCATCAATAAAATTGCGCATCCATATTCCATGGTTCGAAGCTTCAAAACAGGCCAACAACTCTGCCTCCATAGTTGAGGTAGCTATCATATCTTGCTTAACACTTTTCCAAGATATAGCACCACACGCTAGCAGAAAAACATAACCTGAAGTAGATCTACTAGTGTCTTTGCAGCCGGCAAAATCAGAGTCGGAGTATCCAACGACCTCCAAATGATCTGATTTTCTATATGTAAGCATATAGTCCCTTGTTCTCTTCAAGTATCTCATTACTCTTTTGGCCGCCACCCAATGAGCCATTCCTGGATTACTGAGATATCTGCCTAGCATCCCAACAATGTACGCAATATCCGGACGCGTACAAACTTGGGCATACATAAGACTTCCTACAACAGATGCGTAGGGAATCTTTTTCATTTCTTGAATTTCCAGATTTGTTTTAGGGCACTGATCGAGACTAAACTTGTCTCCTTTAGAGATAGGGGTATCACCCGGTCTACAATCTTCCATGCCAAATCTTTTAAGAACTTTATCGATATAGTTCCTTTGTGATAACCTTAAGATTCCTTGTGATCTCTCACGAAGGATTTCAATTCCTAATACAAAGGAGGCTTCACCAAGATCTTTCATTTCAAAATGTTTTGATAGAAATCTCTTGGTTTCATGCAACATGCCTATGTCGTTAGTGGCAAGAATAATGTCATCAACATATAAGACCAGGAAAAAGATTTTACTCCCATTGAATTTATGATATACACAATCATCTACATCATTCATCTTAAAACCAAAGGATAAAATGACTTGATGAAATTTGTGATACCATTGACGAGAAGCCTGTTTCAGCCCATAGATGGATTTTGTTAATTTGCAAACCATTTGTTTTGGATCTCCTATCACAAAATTTTCTGGTTGCACCATATAAATAGTTTCATCAATGTCGCCATTGAGAAACGCTGTCTTAACATCCATCTGATGAAGCTCTAAATTAAAATGTGCAACTAAAGACATAATGATTCTAAAAGAGTCCTTTGATGAAACTGGAGAAAAGGTCTCTTTATAATCAATTCCTTCCTTTTGAGTGTAACCTTTAGCTACAAGACGAGCTTTATATCTCTCCACATTACCCCTTGAATCCCTTTTGGTTTTAAATATCCATTTACAACCAACGGGTTTACAACCTTCAGGTAATGGGACGAGTTCCCAAACTTTATTGTCTTGCATAGATTTATATTCTTCATTCATTGCCACAATCCACTTTTGAGAATTTGAACTTTTCATGGCTTGATGAAAGTTGATTGGATCATCTTCCATAACACCATTTTCTTCCTCATGTTCTTGAATAAACACAAGGACATCATTCACTGTATCCATGCTTGACACATGTTCTTGGAGATATACAACATAATCACTTGGAATTGCATATCTCCTTTCTCTAGCGGATCGCCGCAATGGCACATTTTCTTGTTGCACTTGTTCTAGAGGAAGTTGAGTTTGTTCATTTTGAATAATTTGTTCAGTTTGGATAGGAGAAGATGAAATAATGCCTTGTTGAGGTTCTTCATTAGTTTCAAAAGAAACATCCATATGAATTGGTTCAGGTATTGAAATCAATTCTTCCTCAAAGACAATATCCCTAACTTTATTCTTCCCCCCAAACTCAACATCCTCGAAAAATATGGCAGTTCCCGTTTCAAAAATATTTTTATCCTCAGGATTATAAAATTTATATCCCCTAGATCGTTCCGAGTAACCAATAAAGTAACTACTAACTGTTTTGGGTTCCAGTTTCTTTTCATGCGGTCTATACGGCTTTGCCTCGGCTGGACAACCCCAAATATGAAAATGCTTTAAACTAGGCTTTTTACCCGTCCAAAGCTCATAAGGTGTTTTAGTAGTTGCTTTAGTTGGCACTCGATTAAGAATGTAAGCTGCAGTCTTTAATGCCTCACCCCAGAGGGATTCAGGTAAGATAGAATGAGAAATCATACTTCTTACCATTTCCTTAAGGGTTCTATTACGTCTCTCAGCTACGCCATTCATGCTAGGTGAACCCGGCATGGTGTATTGAGGGACAATCCCACATTCCTCTAGAAATTTGGCAAAAGGCCCTGGACGTTGTTCACCTGAGCCGTCACACCTCCCATAGTATTCACCACCACGGTCGGATTTGACTTTCTTTATGCGTTTGTTGAGTTGATTCTCAACTTCTGATTTGTAAGATTTAAACACGTCCAAGACTTGAGATTTTTCATGTATAAGAAATAAGTATGCATATCTAGAGTAATCGTCTATGAATGACACAAAATATTGTTGACCATTCCATGAAGGAGTAGGAAATGGCCCACAAATATCCGTGTGTATTAATTCTAAGACATCCATAGCTCTATATGCACCTTTTTTCTTAATTTTGGTTTGTTTTCCTTTAATGCACTCAATACAAGTATTGAAATCAGAAAAATCAATGGAATTAAGTGTTCCATCAGACACAAGACGTTCAACTCTATTTTTAGAGATGTGACCTAATCGTTTGTGCCATAAAAAACCAGATTGTGCATTATCAACCTTTCGCTTAGTGCCTCGGGTGTCAATATTCAAAACATTATTATATGAAGTTATTGTTTCAAGCATGTAAAGATTGTCATATGACATAAAAGAACCAGTCCCTACTATACTTGAATTTAAAGACAAATGAAACCGAAAGTTTCCAAATGAACAATGATAACCCAATTTGTCCAAATAAGAAACAGAAACCAAATTCCGCCTAAATGACGGAACAACAAAAGTGTCTTTTAAATCCAAATAGAAACCAGTAGACAATAACAATCTAAAATGCCCAATAGCCTCCACATGCACCGCTTTGCCATCTCCCACATAGACACATCTTTCAGCATCATTTGGCTTGCGGTGGCTCAGACAACCCTGCATAGAAATACTGATGTTAGATGTTGAACCGGAGTCTAACCACCAAGTATTTCTAGGCACTGAAGCTAAATTGTTTTCAGTACAAACCAAGGTAAGGACCGTACCTTTCTTCACTTTCCAAGCGTGATACTTGGTACAATCCTTCTTCATGTGTCCAGACTTCTTACAGAAGAAACAAGTTGTTTCACCTTCCTTATGTTTCTTCTGTACTGGACCTTTAGCAGCTTCATTCTTAATGGGAGTTCTATTCCTCTTTTTACCCTTATCCTTAGAGGTACTAGCCAAGTGAGCACTTTCTGTCTTATTTTGTTTCATCCTCTCTTCCTCTTGCACGCAATATGAAATGAGCTCGTTAAGAGACCACTTCTCCTTCTGGCAGTTATAACTAACTTTAAAAGGATCAAATGCAATAGGAAGAGAGTTCAAGACTATGTGTACGAGAACATCTTCCGATATCTCAATCTTAAGTGTCTTGAGCCTAGAAACAATATAAGACATTTCCATAATATACTCCCTTATATTTCCTTTTCCTGAATACCTTTTGGAAGTAAAGTCTTTTAACAACATGCTTATTTCCGCCTTATCGCTTTTAACAAAACGTTTCTCAATTTCAGAAAGGAAATCCTTGGCATTAGTAACCTCATCGGATACAGCTCCCCTAAAGGATTCTGGAATGCCACGCTTTATGATCATAAGACTTAAGCGATTCGAGCGATCCCACTTCTCATAGTACCTTTTTTCATCTTGGGTACTAGCATCCGTAAGAGAAGCGGGTTGCTCTACCCTTAATGCTAAGTCAAGATCCATGCAGCCCAAAGTTATTAGAATATTTTCTTTCCATTCCTTAAAATTAGTACCATTTAGGACAGGGATGGAGTTGAGATTGGCAGATATGCTCGCAAAATTAACTGTGGAAAGAACAAGGATAACAAACATATGTTTTAGTGAAATTGTAAAATGATTTTAACCCATCACAAGATACCAAATGCACCATTAGTATTTCATCTTTGGACAATAATACTAATTGCTAGTGGTACTCTTGTTGTAACAATAAAATATAACAATAATACATATAAAAGAAAAATCCACCTTTGGGTTGATTTTTTTTTTCTTTTAAAGTGAAGCCTTATAATTGTTATATATTTATTATTACCAAAATGTATATATATAACTTGATAAAATATTAATCTTCCTTTGGGCCGATTAATATTTACTTGAACTATATATACTATGTTTACTATTTTATATGAGCAACTTACACAATAGGATCACTTTGGTGACATATTGTTTCTATATACTCATTTTAAATATTAAACTTCCTTTTATTTTACAATTTCCCTTCAAAAATATACGTAGTGTATAACTTCGAAAATAAGTGCGGCAAATAACTTCGAAAAGATTTGCACATGAACAACGACAATTGATATTTCATTGAATTGACTTGATTCAAAAAAAAAATCTTTAATGAAAGCAAATTTGAAAAAAAAACAAAAATTCACCCAGACACAATTCAATGCAAACATACTTGTTACATCCGAGCATTAAAGAAATACAAAAAAAACGCTTGCCAATCTTGACATAGCTAGTGCTAGACAAATTCCACTTGTGAATAAAATATTCAATTACTCCGTAACAGTTTAGCAGTATTAATGCAGAGGCCAAAAAAATTCATGCCAAAATGAAGCATTAAAGATTGAGACATGCAACGGGAAGTAAAAAAAAATTAACAAATCATTAATCAATCAATAATTATACATACATGAAACGGTTCTTTCTTAATAAACATACTTAATACGGAGTACTTTCAAACATCAACTTGATTCAAAATCCAATAACCAATGAACTCACAACTCAATACAGTCGTACTATATCATTAAAGGTCTAAAAAGATGACTTAATTCATAATATAGCAGCATTATATATACTAATACGAGTATATGTGTAAGCATGTATGTTCATAGGATTAGACTGCACCCTTGCAAATAAAGGGCATAAACCATTTCATATAGCTTAAAAAAAAAAATTATCCACTACGAGTAAGAATGGAGTACAATTACTATTCAATAGTACCATATATGCCTATACACTCAATTATTGATATGATACCACAATTTTATATCAGTAGTATATTATATCAATACTAAAGTAAAGTTTTATAGACAAAATTTAAAATACTTGACTGGTAACAATTAAACATGCAGCGGAAAAGTTCCGGTCGGTAAAAAAAAAAACTCACAAATCATCACTGCACTTATCCAACGATCACGGGCACATACATGATCAAAACGGTTCATACAAAAAAACTTCGGATATCACCAGTTCAAATGAAATTCCAAATATATCGATGAATACATATGCTGATTAAGGATGAATTCCATGAATTTATAATGGTAGGCTCTGATACCAATTGATGGATATTCATATACATATCAACAAGGCTCCATATGCAATATATATATAAATATATAATAGCTAAATCCATATAAATCCATGAAATCAAATATGTATGAAATAAGATTAGAACAATACCTTGAGAATTCATTTGCATTAACACTTTAGGAAGACTTAGGAATCCAACACGATTGATCGGCCTAACCTTCCAATGCTATGTAGCTTATGAGATAAAGCTTAATCCTATAATTGATGGGTATTTATAGGACTAATTTGAGAATAGTAACGGTTAACCTTTCTAATTCCTACATTATTGCTACAATAAGTAGAATAATTTATTAGGCTATTTTCCGTTACTATGTCGTTACAATTATCTCGTTATTTACATGCATCGGGGGTCATAACCGTTGTATCACTTTAGTATAATATATTTAATTTGACCCATCACCAAAAGAAATATATTATCCCAGTATCTACACTTTTATTATTTCATGAATAGCCACTGTATTATTTATCTGATGGTAAACACATTTTAATTAATTACATATTAGGCCCCTTTTTATTGTTTTCCAACATACATACTTTTAACTTTTAATATTAAGATCTTACATTTTACTCATTATTTCGTCACATTGAAAATGTTAAAAAATGATTTTTTTTTTATATTTTACTCATTATTTTGTCACATTGAAAACTATTATCAATTGTTTTTACGTTTGTTTTACATTTTATGTGTCCTATTATTATTAAACTTTGATCTGATCTAATCTAGATTTAGAATGAAATCAATCTAATTAAAAACATTCTAAGAGTATAACTAAATCAGGAATTTGTAAATATACAAAGATTTCCTAATTTGGATTAGGAATCTGTTTCTAAAGTGATAGCATATTGAAATTGTAGTTGTAAAATAAAGAAACAAAACAACCAAACATATTTACTTTTTGGCGAGGCTAAATGTATTTACTTGTGAGCGCACACACACACACATGCATGTACGATATCAATGTTCATCCTTATTAAATAAACTAGTTACGTGACGTACATTGCGTGATCGGGAAAATGCCCAATAACAACTTCAATCATATAACTCAAAGCTACAATGAGATAAGACATATAAACAGACGATTCAAATTAAAAAAGCCGAATCGCTAATCTCATAAAGAAATAGACTCTAAATTCATGTCGATGGCTCCTGCTACGATCACAATATATAATTCTCAAACAAACTACTTCGTATTAAACATCCCTATTTGTCCAGCCACCGGCAAGGAGCCAAGTGTAAAATTTATTCCGCTTCTGCCAGCCACCGGAAAGAAACCAGTCCATGTGATCTCAACTTCTTGGAACAACGGTGGTTCAGGAGGGGGTGATTCGTTACAATATCATCGCAGATAAAAATCATATTCTCGATTGATGAAGATATCAATGCAAACCTCTTATTAGCACACATGAACGTCCGACCGAAGATGACGGTGAATATAAATTTGGCAGACGACACTACGCCATCGAAAATAATATCTCTAAACAACGTTATAAAAGAAACATATAGACAAAATTGAAAACACTGATCAAGTATACATTTTTTCATTGTTATCTATAATGCTAATATGTGAATTTGTTTCTTAATTATAAACTTGTGCATAGAAGTAATGCCAGCTATTTTCAAAAAAAAAAAGAAGAAGTAATGCTAGCCGCTTGAACACTAATAATTAATGAAAGGAATTGCATATATTACGATGGTTGCAATGTAATCAGTTCATGATTGAAAGCACAAAATGATGAGAAGTAATGTTTGAAAATGATTGAAAGCACATAAATTATTTAAATCATGATTTGTACAAAATGATGAAAAAATCTAAAGGTACACACTTTGTGTACACACTCTTACACACTCGTGTCTGTGTAGACGTTTTTTTGTCTGTCCCAGACACAACGTATTTGTCACGGCCAAATAACTGTACCGCATCATCATGTCCCAGTGTTAGTGACACAGAGGTGGTAATAATATTCAGATTAGATAAAAAACATTTAAATCAGACCAAATATTTTAAAAAATTATTATTGTTGTTATTTGTAATATTATTATTACTACTGATGGATAGTGTACCCGGGGGGTAGCTTATCCGAGGGGTTATTACGGGGAATAACAAGAGAGAAGTCAGAGCAAGTAAGAGAGAGAAAGTATATTGAGTTGAGGCGTTAAAACGTCAATGACTTGGTTACAAATGGGGAAATGAGGTGCTATTTATAGTAGCAATAAATGCCGGACAGGGACACGTGTCAAGCACCCATTGGCCGAGAGGTCACCTCAACTGGCTGGCGCTGGCAGCCGCATGTGGCCGCATTTAATGCAGCTGTTGGATGGGACGTTGTACAGGGTACGGTGATCTGTACGCATGTGGCGCGGATATAATGTCGGGAGAGGTGCCATCGGGTGCAGAGGACTAACCGAGGGCTCTGAGTGCCGGGGACCCCCTGGGTGCCGAGGGCTCCAGGTGCCGAGGGCTACCGTTTTCTGCCGTTTTTCTCCCAGTTTCTTAGTTTGCTTGAAAATCCATTCTGTGAGAGTTTTGAGCCTTCGGCCAGGGGGCCGAAGGCTCCCCAGTGTGCGCTGTGGGCTGCTAAGTGCTTGGGGCGCCGTAATTTGGGGCCTGCTGTGTTTCCTGGGCCGGTTGGGCCTTTATTGGTGTAGTAGGAGTCTGTGGGCCGAGGGTTCCCGGGCCATATACTCCATCAGGAGTCCCTCAATCCTTTTGTCGAAAGGTACTTGAGGGAAAAGGAGTAATTGTGCTTGTCCTCTGCCGTTGTTTTCGTCGTAATCTTTGAGGTTGGTGAGGAGTTGTTGCTTTTACGTCCCCGCCGAAGGCAGTCCCTCAGTTACCCACATGTCGGGACTTAAGGGATTGTTTTGCCGTTTGTTGGAATTTTTCTCCATTTTGTAATTTAATTATTTTCCCGAGGGGGTCCTCCAGTCCCCCATTCCTTGAGGCATTTGTAAAGTGGTGAAAAGGAGTAGAGTAGTTGCGCTGCTGTTGTGGGCCGAAGGCTGACGCTTTTCGTTTCATTTTGGGGGGATGCCTCGTTAAAAACCTCATTAGGAAAAACCCTGGGGGAAAAAATCCTAATGAGGGAAAAAGAGTGCACCGAATTCCCCCAACGATGAATCGAAAATGTGAAACCTTGGTTCGAAATGGAGAATAATGCAGATGCCGAAGGCTCTCCTTGTTCTGAGGGCTCATGTATTGAATAGTCGGAGGCTTGTTGTTGATGTCTTGGGTGGTGACGAAGAGGAGCCCCTCAATCTGGGGATCGAGGGCGTGATGGATGAGGGCAGTAGTTGAATTGTTACTGGGGTGTCCCCCGCTTGTTGATTAGTTGGTGATGAGGATATCCGAGGGCTCCCCCTACCCGTGTGCCGTAGGCTATCTGTCAATGAGGCATACTTCCCGGGGGCTACCCGGCCCTTACAGTGCTGAGGGGGAATCCCTGAGGGGTGGCCTGATATGAAGCGTTG